CCTCCCTCCACAGCGCCAGGCGGGAGCGCCGGTCCAGGCGGCTCCCCACTTACCCCAGGAGGGGGGCGCTCTTCCGGAGCGGGCACGCCCTTCCAGCCCCTCCGTCTCTCCCGCTGCGGCTGCCATTTCCAGATCTTTTGCCTTATTTGTCCCTCTACCCACAGGGCACGTGCCTGCCTTGATCAAAGCCCTGTCCCACTTCCCCAGCCAGGCGAGGGGAGCCCAGCGCACGGGCGGGGCTCCCCAGGAGGTGCTGGTGCAGGGGCCCGGGCCTGACCCCGCCTTCTCAGCAGCCTGGTGGTGGTGGTTTGTTTGTTTGTTTGTTTGTTTGTTAAGTCATTGGAGTAACATTGGGTAATATATAAATTTCAGATGTACAGCCTTATAATTGGACATTTACCTCTGCTCTATTGTGCGCTCCCCACCCGAGTCTCCTTTCATCACCATATCCCCCCTTCCCCTCGGTAACCTCCGTTCTGCTGTCTGTGTCTATGAGCCTGTTTTTTGTGTGTTTACTCCTTCAGTGGACAATTGCATAAAGATGTGGGACATACATACAGCGGAATACTACTCGGCCATGAAAAGATGAAATCTTGCCATTGCTGGCTACATGGATGGATCCGGAGGGTATTACGCTAAGTAAAATAACAGTTGGTTGGACAGTTGGTTGGAGCACCATCGCATGCCCCGAAAAGGCTGTGGGTTCGATTCTTGGTCAGGGCACATACCTGGGTTGCGGGTTCAATGCCCGAGTTGGGGCATGTATGGGAGGCAACTGATGCTTTTCTCTCGCATCCATGTTCCTCTCTCTCTCCCCCCCCTTCTTCTCTCTAAAAATCAATAAACATAGTCTCCAGTGAGGATTGGGGGAAAAAAAAGACAAGACCCGTGGGAATTCACTGATATGTGGGATATAAAATGAAAAGGAACATACCATCCTGCGTGCTCCTGGGCAGACAAACAAAATGGGGATAAACCCCATCCTGCCCCCCCAACCCCGCCCGCCATGACATGTGAAGTTAAGGAACAGAAAGCACAAATTTAAGGGGTGGTGATGATGATGATGACGATGGGAGCTGCAGCTACCCACACTCCCTGTCCTCTAATCCCAGCTCCTCCACCCTCCTCACCTTGTTGGCCTCCGGACGTGCCAGGCTTCTAGCTTCCGTCCTCAGGCAGGACAATCTGCATCTGATAAGCCACACTTGCTCCCAGGGCAACTGCCTGGCTCCCTTTCCCTCTCAGGACCAGCATCTGTAGAGGGGGAGAGGGGAGGAAGGAGATTCCATCTGAAGATGTGACCCGCAGCTACAGCTCCCTTCCTCTGCCATGCCCGGCCTCCATCCAGGTGACCCTCCTGTCCCGGACGGTGGGTGGGCAGGAGTGAGGAATCCAGCCCTGGTATTAAACTGTCTAGTCTTAGCCTGGAGATTCTAAAAGTCGCCTCTACTCTGGGCCTCTGCAATTTTGTGCTTAATTACGGCCTGTTTTTGTTCCCTATTTCCTGCTTCCGCCCGCACGCAAGGGCACAGGCCTTCCCCAAGCACCTTCTCTTGGCTGCGCCTGGGTCTTAGGCATCTCTGTGTAAGTTTAGAACTTGTTCGTGATACACTTGTCCTATTGGTTGAATATTATTGGGCCTTAATTTTCCTACCCTATTTTATGGTGGTCCCAACCAAACTGCTTCCTTCCTTTAAAAACGAATGAAGAAATATATGTCCATGTACACCAAAAAGACATGTACAAGAATGATCGTGGAAACACTATTTGAAATAGCTTCAAACTGGAAATAGCTCCCAGTGTATATAAATAGTGAAATGGGTGATTGCAGTGTGTTCTTACGATGGAGCATCATATAGCAGTAAAAAAACACAAACATAAAAACCACTGCTACACACACTGACATTGCTATTTCCTACAAACATAACTGAGCAAAACAGCCAGACACAAGAGAGTATCTAATGTAAGTTTCCATTTATATGAAGTTAAAAATAGGCAAAACAAATATATTTAATGAGAAGTCAGGATGATGTCAGATTTAGAGAGAAAAGGGGGACCATCATTAGGAGGACATCATGGGATTCCAGGTGCTGATAATGTCCTATTTCTTCATCTGGTGGCAGATACGTAGCCACATGCACCATGTGATCATTCCCTGCACTGTTCATGTAAACCGCTTGGAATGGGAAGCCATC